AGACAATCTATGCCAAATTCAATCTTTGTGTAAGTAGGAAAGACTCCAAGCAAGTTATAAGAGTCACTCTTTATTACCAGTATTAATGGAATTGAATTTAGATCTCCTTGCATGTGCCATTTGGAATAGTTTATTTTTCACAAGAGGTTTGGCAGGGATTTCTCCAAAACAATTTCCCCCCAAACCTACTTTCAAAAGCCAGCCTGTAAATCTCAAAATCTCTCTGCTTAGTTTGAACAGCTCTTTAGAATACACCCCAATCTGAAACCTTCGTTGTACAGAGATAAGTAGTGACCATATAAAGTTCTTGATTAGTAAGTTAATCATACATCCTAATAAAATGATTTACCTACTCTCTTAATTAATATTTTAATAACATACACACAAATACTTCCAATCCATGGTTTTCAAAGCAGTTATACTGTAAGTAACTGCCTTTTTAAAAAAAAAATAAAAAATTCAATGTTTTAAACTAATAGCCTGTGGGCTCTGAAAGTCTGGAACTCACAGCAGTTTCTGCTATATGGTTTCACATAGTACATAAAATTGTCAGCTTCTCCCATTGAGCTAGAAGACAGGAATGTTATTATTCTAGAAGTTGGAATTTTGGTTTCTAACCATGGTCCAACACAAATGTCTGTGCGTTCTGGGAATCTAACCTATTTGAAATGCAACATCCTGAACCTGGAATTAATTGATCATGAAAAGCACAAACAGCTCCTCATTCATCCTGAAGCAAACGTAGAACCCTTTGACACATTATGGAAAAATAATGCAGTTCTTAACATTCGTTTTTTTGTTCTGGTTGATTTCTGAGCTTGGATCCCTGCCAGGCACACAATGAAGTACTTGGCCTTTAACACACACAGGCATGATTCTTCCTTCATACTCTGAACTGGGAACTGACAAAACTCAGTACATTACAGATTTGTTTCAATCGAAATGTTCACAGCTAGTATCCAGGGACAGGTTTTCTTCTATATTTAGGTTATTTCTCAGCTTGCAAATCTGATCCGCAAATAAGAAAACGGCTTTTAGAACCACATAACACAAGGTTTGGTACAGTGAAGCTGATGTGGTCACTAACCAGTGAAGAACTATTTGCAATGTGGCTGGTGTTACACACGCTCCTTGAACACACATTGAAAAGATAGTTTCAAGGATTTACTGCCACCCTGAAGAACTGATGTTTTAAGTAACTGGGTTTGTACAAAGCGTGTACGACCATCCAAGTGAATCCTCAAATAGATGATTAATTCCTCATTATTTAAATGCCCCTAAATACAAACGGAGATGCTAACTTCATGGCTTTGTCTTGACAGCTCCATCTCTATTTCTCATGATCTGTTATTAGCCTGTGACTCTAAAGCCCTGAAACAGAGTGCCCCACGAAAAAGCCCTCCAACTCCTAGGGAGCCTGGCTCAGTTCCTGCAGCTTATTGCTTACATAGTTCTCCCAGGTTCTGACTGATACTGTAGCACATGATAATACTACATAAACATATTATGCCTCTTTCTGCAGACTCGGATTAGGTTTGTACAGCATATGTTCATGAGCGCTTTTACTATCTGAAGTCCCCCTAAGACATGAGTGTGTATGCACATGCTTAAACTCTGTCTTGCACTGATACTTCCCAATACACCCTAGCTGTCAGAAAATTTTAGGGTAAATCTCACGTTACACTAACAACAGGCATTCATTTTCCTAGACAATATTTATTCTTATCATCAGCCTGTCCTTTGGTTAACTAGCAGAGGTTTACTTTCAGCTTTGCGATTCGCCCTATAGAATATGGCTTATCATTTATCCTAGATATAAACCTGAAAGGGGGGTGGCAGGAGGAGTCCAAAGGATGCAAAACTCAACAATAAACCAAAGCACAAAGGAACTAGAAGAGAATTTCAAAGGATCTGGCTATGCAGCACAGACAGCGCTATATACATGTGTCTGTTTATGAAGACACACTAAACTGAATTATTCAGTTACTTACAAAAAGAAAAAGAACGGACTGTTGGGACGGGAAAGCAGAATGAAGGCGCAAGAGAGCAAAAAATTCATCCAGCAACAGATGAGAACAGAGGAGAACTGGAAAATGGATGCAGGGGGGAGGAACGGATGATGAGAGAATAGCAGGCCTATTTAAAATGAATTTTTGACCTTATTTTTAAAACATTTATGGATCCCAATTGCCTGTCATGAGATCATTTTCCCTTACAATGCTAGCTTTTCAGCCGGCTCTGCACTTTAACTTGATTTATCCCACTTTAAAAAAAGTAGATTGTTAGAAATACCCCTTCTATTAGAAATTCTGCCCCATTACAGTGTCAGCTAAAGGCCACTTGTCAATGTCAGCTTTATCAGATAGAAAATTTCTCAGATACTGTTTTGGACGACAAGACCCAGGGTCCATTTCTGAGGCTGTTGATTTGCGACAGGATAGTGTCTTCTCAAATTATCCTCTGTTATTTCCCAACTTATCTGCATGTTTCATGAGATGGTTTGAAGTGATTACAGCAGCTGGTGTACATTAGAAAGACATCTTATAGGAAAGCTGGCTTAGGTAAAACAGCTGACTGACATAAGCATTGAAAGAACTAATCGAGTATTAAAAATACATACGGAAACCCAGCATCTCCTTTCCAGCTGAAGCTTGCCTGGTCCCATAACCTCCTGTGGCAAGGAAGAAAAATTCTACCAGAAGGTTATCCTCCTCTTCAGCTGTCTGTTGACTCTTTAAAGTAAGACCTGACATCCTGAAGATTAGTTTTTATTTATTTACAATTATGCAATTAGTCATCAGCATGTCTCTTCACTGATGCTTACAGGTGGAAAAAAAATCGGCTGCTGTTCAATCTGTGTTACCACAGCACTGCTGAGGGTCAGCAGCCCGAGGTGGGAAAGACTACATTGCTTATAAAATTATCTTCAGGACTCTCCTGGCATTTATCTCCGGAGACATTTATTTTCTTTTTAATATTTTCATTCTATTTTTGTTTCTTATTTTCTGTCTGAATGGATTGATGTAACGTACGTCTTTTAACAGTGAAACTACACATCAGAGTAGAAATTTCAGCCAGGAGTCAAAAGAGAGCAAGCTGGGGCCACAGTATTTTCCAGATTGAAAGACAGTGCCTGTGAAAGCAAGGCTGGATGGATCAATGGATGGTGTTGTTGCAGTGAAGAGACCAGAAGTCTTTGAAATTTGTAAACCAGTTCAACAAGAGCAACTGCTGCAGCAACAAACTTCAGAGTATTAAAGCCCTCAAAGTAAACTCTGATCTTTGAGCAGACTGCCATTCCTCCCAACAAAAACATTTGAAAATATTCTGCATTGAAAGGACAAAAAGAAACAATTGCGGTGCCACTATTATTAATCAGTTCAAGACTGAATACTTAAAGCTCCCTTTCAGGAGCTCTGATTAAGGGCAACTTACCTCACAGGAAAACCAAAGCTTTGGAAATCAGTAATCTCTGGGCATTATACCTAATAGGAAAGGCTTAAAAAGGATTACCTTAGAAGAAACCTTTGTGAATCTTAGGAAACTACACTGGACCATAAATCTCAGCCTCCTCTGAGGATCAATAAAGCTTTATCAGTTTCAGATAAGAAGTAGAAATCTTCAAGCTGCTGAAGAGGTACCATGGCCCAGTCTGGGGCCTCTGTCAGGACACTTAACAAGCCATTTCAACAGAAAGACACATTTGAGACGTATTCTCATTTTAGTTTACAAAAGCTATTCAGAAGAAGAATGGCAGCTACACAGATTCCCAGATTTGGGTCACAAAATTTAAGGCAGTAGATTAAAGTCAACTGCTCTAAGGAAAGAACTACTGTGCTGAAGGTGACACTTTTGTTAACTGAATCAGAATAATACATACAATAATATTTTTGGGGTTAATGAACAAATACATATGAAAATTTATGTAAAAAAACACCCCTTTTAACTCTGTCTCTCTGTGAATGCAATAAAGTCTAGTCTTGGTTAGGATTTTTTTTTTACTACAACCCCAACCATTGAAGATTTCACTTCAGCATGCACACTGATAGTTTGGAGGTCATTAAAACCAACAATGCTACTTCAAACTTCAGGTGTATTTAGATTATGAAGATTTTACCATAATTCTGTCTCTTTTTAAACTAAAATTTCAAATTTAGCACAAATGGCATCTTATCAAAGTTACATTTTTGAATGCTGGTTGATTATAATTACTTCTAAAGAAAGAGTCCAACTCTGAAACCTGCTCAGGTGGAGCTCTTGAGTGCCAAGTTGTGATCCCACAGACTATAGCTGGTTCATTTACTTAACGCATTCAAAAATTCAGCACTCAATTTAATCTCTGGTTCTGCTATAGGTTACTCTTCAGTAGTGGGTTAGACAATACTTCTCTGTGTCGTGTGACTCCTAGATGTAAAATAGGTAATACAGCATGTCTGTAGCAGTTCTATAGTGTTGGTAGAATATTTTAAGATCCTTTGATGGGAGAGGAGCAAATTATTCCACTTTTCACCTTATAAAAGCTACTGAGGATGTATCATGGCCATATTGCTACTGTCCAGCGTGCAGAAGGATGGGCAGGAGTAGACATCCCGCTATATCCCCTCTCTCGCTTTTCAGCTAAGCACAGTGAGAGTCTGCTGTTCTAATGCTCTTGTTAACCGAAGGACTCACTGGATGAACTGCCAGAGTACCATAAATCCTGCTGACAAGCCTTGATGCCACCACACGTGACAAAGTTTGGCAATGACTGTGTATCTAGGGCCTAAAGAGAGGAAACCTGGGCCTAAATCAAACACAGCGAACAGATGAGTTATTTTTAGCCAAGCTTTCATGTTATTAATGTTTTCTTTGGTGGGCTGGCATTAAGGCTTTCTCCATTCCTACAAACCCCTTAAATTCATGTTAAGCTGATACAGGATTTCTGGAAAACACAAACAAATCGGCACCTTCTGCTAACACTGAACGCTGCAAAAGCACTTTTCCTGACACTGTGGACCTACCCAACGCTGGTCGTAATCAGACGGCTGTGTTCTTCCTTCGTCATCCTCATAGAAAGGTAAGCCTTCTCGCCTGGCCTGATGGTACTCCTTCCGTAACTTCTGGATACGATCAGCATTCCCACCACCTACGCAGCCACTGAGAAAAATAAAAAATGCTAAATGAAACTGTTACGTACACACATATCTAAAACTTACTGGGTACCCACATGAGCCAACACACAGAATTGCCACACCTGAAACAAATGGATTACAAATGTTTGATTCTCCTGACTTGTGTCGTGCTCACTGGCCCGTATCACCCTTATTTTTGCTTGTATTTATAAAGCTGCTAATTGTGAACTTGATCCCCATTTTTAAAAAAGGCTGTCCCTGTCCAAAGAACTTAACAATTCCAGTACAAGACAAGAGACAACAGATGCATGCAGACAGATGGGGGAGCACAAGGAAACTTTTAACATTCCTACGAGCAGCTATAAATGGCTATCATATTTTAATAATAATGATGATGATGACGATAAGCTGCCAGAAAAATGTTTCTTTTTGCTCCCACGCTAAATGTGGAATTTCCCTAAAATTACATTTGTTCAAGGTAAAGAATAGTCTATATTCACAGAGAAGCACAGAAAGAAGTTTTGTCTCATAAAAAACAACCTCCCTCCAAATTATATGAAGAACTAAAATATCAGCCATGAAAATACAGGGGAGGCTACAGAGATCGGAAAGCATGCTATTAAATCTTGACACCATTTTTTTAAAGTGGTAATTAAACAGTAACCCATGTAGTAATCCACAAAGACTCACTCCTATACTGAACTGCATAAACTGCAAACTGCCGTGGTAAATTTAGTGGAGTTGTCTAATTTGTCAAGTTAAACACATGACTGTCATTGCGGATTTTGACCCTGGCGAGCCTTCTAAAACCTTACAGCTGGACTTGTACAACTGTGGAAGCTCAAGCTACACCTGGAAGGATCAAAAAAGATATCCTGAAAATGCCTAAGAATTTAAAAAAATATAGCCATATTGAAAATAAGTAAATTAAAATTTCCCGCAGCTATTTCCAGCCCTGCTCTACACAGCACCGGGGTGAACACTGATTATATGGCTCAGTAGCATTCACAGGGAATTGTTGTAGAATTTATTTGTGGCCGCTGCTAAACTCAGACCATTGTTATTGCAGCACATCATCATATATCTCTTAATCTACAACCTTAACCCTAACTCACCAACAATGGACTACAGAGATACAGATTTATTCACATGAGCACAGACTCTGGAGCATCTTGTCACACTGCACTCCACCATGAGTATGCCAGAATCTAGCAAAGCCTTTTATAGGATTTGCATAGCAAACTGAATTTGGAAAATACATAAAAAGGACTGGACATGAACCTATCAGTTCAATAGTAAGTAGTTTCTAGTATCTACTAACAACCTAGATTGGTTGGCAATTAATTACCAATGAAGGGAAATTCCATGTAGGGTGCAAATGCAACTGAATACACAGCCAGAATTGGTATTGTTTACTTGCAGCATCAGCATGTTCCCATGAAAAATCAAACACTTAAGTTACTTGCATTCCCTGGATCCTAAGTTATCCAGCCCCTCTACTCTACAAAGTCCCGGAGGTTTCAAGCTTCTCTGGCTGACTTACTGAACTCTTCCAGACCACATGAAATTTTTCTCATGATTTGCCAAGACAGTGCAGAAAGCTTGCACAAACTCTGTGATTGAGAAAAAAAAAAGTACATTCCCTTTTCCCCTTGAGTCCTTCCACAGACAAATACCTCTGTTCCTTGCATGAATTCTTGTCAAATAGTAGAGAACCATTTCCAGTTCGCAAAACACTAGAATTGAGGACTAGCTAATGGGGGCTATCACTTAGAACAGTGAAGCTTGGTCCACAGCTCATGAGCAATACAATACCTGTGAAATCCCCTGACTTTACTTGTAAGTACAGATAAAGTGTTTAATTAGGGCTGCTAACATACAGATAAGGCCCAAAGTGTTGTCCCTGTTGCTTTGTCAACATCATTACCCAAAACAGTAATAGCTAAGAGAGGGAAATGCTGAAATATAGGCAAAGAGTCTAGTTTTATTTCATCCAATCTGTCCCCCCACAGCTCTCTGCAAACCATATTAGCAGCTGCCACCAATGGCCTAATGGCCGCATACCCACTTTCCACCTCCGGGTATTTTGGCTGAAAAGGCAATCTGAAAATACCATACAGGTCTCATTTTTCCTTTTTAAAATGAAATCTGAGATTTATATTGTAAGAGGCAGTAACAGCAGCCTGTGCTCCACTTACTGCAGATCTCCTGTAGGTGAACTTCTTTCTGCTTAAACCCATCTAACCAGCAAGTGGAAGCAGGAGCTGCAGAGATGAAGCTGATCAGCCTGGCAGCTTTTTCTTCAGCAGACCTCTGCCATGTCATATTAAAGTACAAACCCTAACCATGAGAATGAGTAGGAACGTTTGAATGAAAAATAGCAGCACATGGAAAGTTATCCATCTGGATTAGTGTGAAAACACAAGCATAATCTCTGTGGAAACAAGCAGCTCCGTGAAGTCTGATTTCCTGCGCTTCTCTCCTGCGGGTTCTCTGGTGTCCGATAATGGGACTGAGTTCACACAGCAGCGTTTCTCCCCAGCAAGGGCATTCATCTGGGCCTCTCCAGCAGGCTGTTTGTTTTGATGAAACTTAGAGATCCAGTATCTTTTGAACATCGAATCACCTGTCCAGTCTGGTCAAAAATGGCCATCAGGTTCAGAATTTGTTAGAAAGGTAGGGGCAACAGGTCGGTCGGTACAACAGCTTCATTTTTTCAGGAAACAGCTGAAACTCCACGGATCTTTTCTTTTTTCTCTTCACTGTTTATAGGCACAAATGTAAAAGACATTGGCTTTTGAGAGAGCTGCATATCTATAGCTTTCTATGAAAGTTTTACCCACTCCTGAGTAATGTGAGATGAATATGATGCCCTGTGCAATGCTCATGAAACAGCTCTGAATTTCAAGTTGGCTCCTGACAATTATGTGAATATATGAACCACATTCAAACTCACCAGATGAATTCAATCAGCACTGTGCAAATATCGCATACATAATCTATTAGTTTACCCCAAAGAAACTGAAGCATTGAATTCAAACAGAATGAAGTCATCAGTAATAAAAAAAAGAAACTGATAAGGCAATATTAAAAAAAACACAACACAATTTTCCCAGATTTGCACAGAAGATCATACATTGACTGTAAACTATACTCCCATCTGCCTATAAATACATAATTAAAAAATATTGGTTTGATCAGATAGCAGTTCTCAGACAGGGAAACAGCAGACGAATACCAGTTCAAATGTTTTGGATACATTACTATACCGAAAAAGAACCTGAACTTACAGAAGAATATAAAAACAATACTCCAATCAAAGTCAATTTATATTAAGGAGACTTACTGAAGCTTTTCACCAAGCCTAGTAAGTACAGCAGATAGATTTCTTTTACAGTAGCTTTACATTTAATGTAGTGCTCCTTTCTTGAGGAGATACAAATATTACAGTGCTCATCTACAATTTTGTGCAAAATTCAGTTCCCTGGCATGGCTCCCTCCACTATACGCTCTTCAGAGAGCCGCGCAACCACACATTAGCCATTCCCCTCCACCACCACGTGTTCCTAGGCTCTAACGTTGAATCTGCCCACGGACTTCTCTGTTGCCATGACAAGACTGTAAGAGAATCATCCACTCTACATTTTGGGATTGACTTCACAACGATTTCCTAAAAATGTGCTACATGTAAGGAGACCAATTCAGAAGCAGCTGATACTGGGATAGAACCTGCAACTTCCTAGGCTAGTTTTAAACAACATCTAGGTAGGGGAAAAATCTCTGAGAAACTTTACAAAGAGTTCCGTGAAGACTCAGATGCTGATTTCAAACAAAAGTAACAAAACCTGTCTAAAATCTCATGCCACAAACAATCTCTAGAGAAGTTCAACAGCTCTTCAAATAAGCTGCAGAAGCTGCAAGTATTTTTTGGGGGAATAGAAAAATTAAATAATAAATAATCTTATATGAACATTTAATAGAGGAAAAAGCACATTCCTGCCAGCCATTCTGTAGTTTTGCTAGATACAATCCTTATAAACCAAAGCTTTCTTCTGGCCTGGGAGAAAGAAAAAAAAAAAGTCTGCACAATCGTTCTAACCCATGTTGCTGGGGCTGTACTACCAGCTAGGCAAACAACCACCACAAATCACCATCTTCTGCCCTGTGCCTCAAACTCTCAGCAGCACCATACAGGTTCCACCTTGCCCACTGCAACTGTAAACGGACCTGTTACGCAACAGCCACTCAACCGAGACAGCTGGAACAGGTACCCCAAAACAAAAAGCAAACCATAATTTGGCACAGACTTAGCTTCAAGCTATGTTACGTAAAATATGACTGTGAAACTTCAGCCCATCATCTCTGAAGAGACAGATGAACAAGCACCATAGCAATAGCATTATATACCTAATACGACAGATAATTTATTTTTTCCTAAGAATCAAAACATTGCAATCAGTATTTAATACACATGGCTCAGGTTTTGCACAGTAAGATCTCCCGTCTGTTCTTCCTCCAAGTCGCTAAGCTGGATTTCAATCTTTCAGGTTAAAAATATCATTTTTTAAATTAGTGACTTCTTACTGCAGCTCTCTAGATAACATAAAATTAAAAACAAGTGTTGCACGTACAGAGTAAGATGAACCACTTAAAGCTGTACATAAACATACATTTAAAGAGGCAATAAACATTTTGTTTCCAGTGGTTTTCCTAAACACATTAATATTGCACAGGGCATTTTTGCCAGCCACTTCTTTCAAACGCTGACTTCACTCAGCTGACTATCAGCCTCTAAACAAACAACTGATGCTTCCAAGTTAAAAAAAAAAAAAAGAAAAAGAAAACCGATTATTTTAGTGAATTTTCCATTAACAAACAAATCCAAGACAAAACATGATTCACAGACTCAAGAGAATGGACAATCTTCCATTCGCAATCTGCTATAAAAGAAAACTAACTTCATTTACTGAAAGGAACGGTGGTCTGCAAAGATACACAGTATAAGGAGTCCAACAGAGCACGTAA